GCCGGGCGGGCGCGGGGCGGGCTCCGAGCTCCGGCCCTTCTCTGGCTGCGCACCCCCAGCGTGCTCCTGCCGGTACAGACCTGGTGGCTGCACCCCAAAACCGCCCCGCTGGGGCTCCCCTGAAGGTCTGCGCGAATGGGCGTAGGCACCACAGCTTGGGGTGACCCCGGTGTACCCCTCGCCGTGACTGGGGCTTCCCCAGAGGCTGCCTCGGTGGTGGGCACAAGGCTGCGGTTACGGTGGTTACATTTTTGTGCCGCTTTAATTAGAGAAACGTTGAATTCAGTAAGTTACAGTCTGTGACTCTGAGATTCTGTGGTGTCACACTGCAGGAGTTAGGATGGGTCCAACTTTCCTATAGAGTTTAATTTTTCTGCAGGTTTCTTTTAGCTGATTTTGAAGAAAAGTTGTCTTGTTTCTTTATAAATATCTCTCAGTTTTAAGAGCAAAAGGGAAATGAATTAAAAAAAGTTTGTTTTTTCCCCTTTTGTGCCCTGACAGGATAATTAAAGCAATGTCTTCTCTTCCATTTTTAAGTCATTACATGGCAGGTCTGCTGCTTAATTGGCTAAATAAAACCAGCCAACTCAGAGCCTCAGGGAAGATGTGTGAATAACTTACTGAATGTCAAAAGCTTCTCTAGTAGATGATGTATGTACACATACACATCCTCTTTTACATACATGTCTGGTAAGATTCAATACAAGTCACATACAAGCTTTAAAACTGTTGCACCATGTTGGAAATATGTTCCAGTGGGTCTTGTTTCTTATCTAAATATTTACTGATATACTTGTTTTCTTTAGTAGAAATATTTAATATAGTGATGTTACAGCTCGTTTATTTTATTTTTCTAGTGAAACTGAAAAGGTTACATTATACAAAAAGTACTTTAAGTTCGAATGCCCTGCAGCCTCCTGTAGAATTAAGGTAGGGAGCTGAACAGAATTGCTGTATTCCTTGTCTCTTTAATCACTTGATTGACTAAACTGCATTGCTCTTTGTCAAATTATTGCTTCTCTACACTTCACATATCACTTAAAAATCTGTTAGTACTTTCTCTTGATAGGAGAGTTCTTTTAAATTTGTATCACAGTTTTCTTTTTATGAAGACTTAATACGTGTATTAAATATAGTCCATAGGAAAAAAAACCCTTCATAAGCCAAATAAAACTGCAGATCAGCAGTTGCTTAGTGCTTTGAAGATCAAGCCCAAATTTATCTGTGGCTCATGCACACACCTCTGTTCCAGTCAGAATTTTCTGAAGAGTAATAGAAAGGAGAATTCACCTGAATTTGCAAGGAAAAGAGTTCAGCATTGTTTTTCCCAAGACTCAGAAGTAGAACCCATTGTCCCATACCTGCAAAGAAAACATGAAACTTTTTCTTCCTAACCAAAATACTGTTTTTCCTTCTTTCAACAGCTGCTCTCCCTTGGTGAGAAACAAAGTGTGCTCATCAGTAAAATAGTGGTGGAAGTGCAAAGGGTGCCTGCAAAGCTAGCAGCTGATCTCCCCTCTCTAGGCTCAAGCATAGACCTAGACAGAGTGCAGATGATAATGGAATCCATGGGGTCTAAGTTGTCTCCAGGGGCTCAGCAGCTCATGGACATGGTCCGGTGTCAGCAGAAAGTAAGTCACTGTGCTTTTCCCTGGACATAGATAGTGCTAAGCTGTGACCTTCCCTTCTGCAGCAGTTACACACCTTCTAAACTGATGTGGTGGAAAAGACTGTGGATTTTTTTTTTATTTTAACCCACACTTTCTGCCATTTTAATCCTCTTTGAGTCACCCTTAAAAGACTGTGCACTCCAGGGATCACTGTGCATGCACCAAGTCCAGGGTTAATAACTATCAGCATCATTTTAAACTTCCCAGCCACCCTGCCCTCCCTTTCTTCATCTCCATTGCCACTGCTTGTCGGTGGTGGGGGGGATGTTCCATGGGATGTTTGGGGTGTGGGTAGATGGGCTGATTTGTCTCCTCTAAGGTTATTAAAAACAGGTCACCTGCAACTAAAGGGAACCTGCTTTTACAGAGCAGTTATTTGATTTGTATCCTAATCCTGCAAAGTAGACTATTTCAGCAGCATTCCAAACCCTTCTGATGTTAATAATATTCAGTCTTGGGGACATAGCATGGGAAAAATGAAGTCAGTAAAACTGTTTTGTTACTTAGAGACTGGCAAAATAATTAACACTTAATATGTGCAGGAAAAATACTTTTCTGTGCTTTTCCCCAGGAGTATAATTCTGAACTGTTTTGAAAAATCACACTAGTAGAATGTTGAGTTATAAAGTGTCTGTTGTTTAATTTCCAGTATATTTTACTACTATACTCATGTTGTTTTTCTTCCCATCAGAACAGTTTATCTCTTGGAGACAAACTTAATTGGATCTTTGGGAAAAACTCGGAGCTTGGAGGCAAGCAGGCAATAGATGGATTGCACAGTGCAGCTATTCACACCTCACTGGATCAGTCAACCAGTGAACCTCTGCCTCTTAAAAATCATTTAACAACTGAAGCAGTGTATGAAGACTTAAAAATAAGTCATGATCTGAACAAACAGATACCTGAAAGAGGGAATACTTCTGATTCTGAAAGACTTCCTACCCAGGAAAATACAGTTGACCTCAGAAATGATTTTAAAGTCCTGGGATCTTTGCATATGCAGCAAAAAGTGAGCAAAACCCCAAATGTGGCTAATCCACAGGTGCTGCTTCCTTTTCTGCAGAACTTGTGTAGTCAGGTCACTCATCTTCGGCTAAAAGAAGGTGATAGGCATTTTGGTAACAGTGCAGTGACTAAAGAGGAAGGCATTCAGTGTGTTGGGTAAGTCATGTCTGGTACACTTACTAAGGTAGTGGTTTGACTGTATTTGTTGGAAAAATAAAATGCATAATGTAAGCATTTTATTCTCATCAACAGCAATAGTGAATCTTAAAACCTGGGTTTGGAGGCTCTGCTGGTGAACATGATTACAGTTAATTTTTCAGAAGAGCTGCTTGAATGTGGGTGTTTTTCCATAAGAAATCCCAACAGCATTTCTTGTTACTAAACTGTGTTTCTTACCTCCATTTCACTTTTTATAATTTCAAAAGGTAAGTCATGTCTGGTACACTTACTAAGGTAGTGGTTTGACTGTATTTGTTGGAAAAATAAAATGCATAATGTAAGCATTTTATTCTCATCAACAGCAATAGTGAATCTTAAAACCTGGGTTTGGAGGCTCTGCTGGTGAACATGATTACAGTTAATTTTTCAGATGAGCTGCTGGAATGTGGGTGTTTTCCCATAAGAAATCACAACAGCATTTCTTGTTACTAAACTGTTTCTTGCCTCCATTTCACTTTTTATGATTTCAAAAAAGACACTCATCTTTCTGCAGTTTCGTGCATATCTGGTTTATCTTTCTCATCTGTTACTACATTTTCCTATTGATGACTTCTGCCTTCTGTATTCCTACCTCTTCCTTTTTTCACACCATGTGCCATGACCTTTCTCCTGCACTTAATCTCATCCCCCCCTTCTTTTCTGTCCCTCCTCATTTGCTGGCACTTCAAGTTCAAACTTTGTAACTGCAGTAGTAGTGTGCCCAGTTTGACACTTAAGAAACAACAGTGGAAATGGTGGGATGTGGGAATGTTACTTGGGACCCAGGAGCTCCAGTAGAGCCTGAATACCTCCAGCTCCTGGAAAAATGTAGCATTTCTGAAGAATGCAGGTCCAAAACTGAAGAGTGGCATAGTTTGTGTAACTCTTGAAACACTTCAGCTGAAGAGAATAGTCTGCCACACAGGTGGAGTGTGAGCTCTGTGTCACCATTGAGTTGTGTTTTGTTGTTTGTAACTAAGCTGTCTAATGCATGACTGAGCCTCTGAAAAATCAGATTGAGAGAAGATGACTGTGTACCTTAGCATGTTTATAAAAAATGTCTGAGATTTAAAATGTGGCAGGCAAGCA